TGGGTCATAATAGAAGCTGGAAGCAAGAACATCGGTCGCTGCTCTCCAGCAACCTTACTTTAAATATAAATTGTATAATCATGATTACCATGTGCATTTACGGCTACTTTTCTGTTCTCTGGGCTCCAGGTGATTACAGAAAACCTGGAAGCCTCCCCAAGCTGCTTCTCACAGTGCATAGACCTGCTGAAGCTCAGGCCTTGAACCGTTTAAAACTCATGTACAGAAAGAACCCAGGTCAGAGCAGAGACCCTCAAGTCACATAATACACTGTTCTGAATTTTAAAACAGCCAAGTTATCAGTTGGGTTCTAGACCAAAGTCCTGCCCGGAGACACTGTACTGATTGTATTAAGATTCATTAGTGTTAGAACAGTGAGCGTGGGGGACCTTGGCATATTCCATGGCAGGCGAGGTTGACCAGCCAGACACAAACATGCCAGGCAGACAGAGCTTAAGTGAGAAGTTTTATTAGAAATAGGAGGGAGGGGGAAGGAAAGAGAAAAGAGGTAAAGAGATAGAGAACAGAAGAGAAGGAGACAGAAAAAGTCCTGTCTGCCCGAGGGGAACAGCAAGGAGAGAGGGAAAGAGACCGCTAAAGACATCGTAAGTGGGCGGGGTCTTTCTTTTAAAGGGGTCCTCTGCACCTGCGTGGAGACTAGTAGTCATGGAACCCTGGGCTGACCAGAGTACTGCCTGAGTGCATTCTGTCAGGTGACGGGCAGGCCAGCATAATGCCTGAATCCTTACAATTAAAACCTAGAAAACAATTTGGCCAAAATGAAAAAAAAAATTTAGACAAAAAAAAATTTAGACAAGATGAGACCAATGAAGATTTATGTGATTAAATCACACCAATTTATGTGATTAAATGTTAAGGCACATGTGGGATAGTGAACATAAAATATTTTTTTAGGAAACAGCAATGAAGTCACTTTGTAAACCAGCTTACCTCTAACAGTGAGAAAAGAAAACCCCAAACAAACGCCTATAGGGTGTGGACTTCAGGATTGTCCTGGGATCTTTTGTTGTTTGCGCTTGAGACAGGTTCTCACTCCATAGCCTAGTCTGGCCTGGGAGTTTGTAGCAGTCCTCCTGCCTCTGAGTGCTGGGGCTGCAAACACGTGCCACTACACTTGGCTCATTGCAGGGTGTATGTTGTTCCTTACTTTATACTGTTTATTGTAACGAAAGTTGGAAGCTGGGGCTGTAGCTCAAAAGTAGATGGCAGGCCTGAGTTTTACACACACACACACACACACACACACACACACACACAGTAGTCTTAATCTAATGTTTCACTCTGCAGTACTTAAAGCACCTTCTAAAAGGTCATTATTTTGGGGGAGGGAGGGGGATTTTTTAAGCTCCTCCTCCTAGCCTTTTCTGATTCATTTCCTCCTTTCATCTTGGTATTTGTAGAAGAGATGAGAGTCCCTCCCCCAAATGAGATCGTTCCAACCAGAACCCAAGGCCAGTGCTTATCTGTTGAATCACAGGCCCTCTTCCTCTCTAGCCAGTTGACAGTTTCCAGTGGGAGTCTGGGAGGAGGAGGAGAAGAGACTGGTGCTGGCTCTGACCTTTACCTCATTTACCTGGTGCTGCAGTCACAGGGCTGGCTAGTTCTGGGCAGCCTTGGGCGCATATTCCCACTCCTAGCTGTGGAGGGTCTGTCCTCCCACAACAAGGCTGTCTGAAGCAGATCAACACACAGAGACAGAGACAGAAAGGACCATGGCTACTGAATATGAGAAAGGAAAGGGAGAAATCTCTTACCATCCCCCCAAATCTCTTTCTCCACTTCCTCTTCCCCACTTATAATGCTTTCTGCATTGTGTTCACCACACCTGAATAATAAAAGCCGAGGACCCGAAACGTTAAAAACCGGAAGGGTCAAGATATAGTTGCATTCAAATTTCTGAGAAAGGCAAAGTGAAAACAAATTCAGAGCCAAATTCCCGCTTCATGTTTCATCTACATTAATGACACAGTCTTAAGCTTCGGTCATTATTCTTCCTAAAACAAGATAGCAAACACTGTATCTGGTCCTTTGTCCCAGAGGCCACCGGAAATGGCATCACCTCCCCAGACACTGGCTTGTGAAGGTTGCAGCACCCAGCATTGAACTCATTAGCCATGAAGATGGAGTCTGGGCTATTCTGATCTGCAGCCAGGAAAGGATTCTATCTAGGGAAGAGATCTAAAAAGAAGAAGAAAAAAAATTCACTCACACACACACACACACACACACACAAAATCACCAGGGATTTCAATGAGTAAGTAAGCTTGTTTTTTTTTCTTTCCTTTTGTTTTTTGTTTGTTTGTTTGTTTTGCTAATGGGTCTCTTGTAGCCCAAGCTGTCCTCCTACTCCCTGTGTAGCTAAGAATGATCTTAAGACATCATTTTCTTTTAAATATAAATTTAAATTTTCTGACCAACTTCTCTCAGATTCCTCACTGAAGTCACTGGGCAGGTGGGCGGATGGGGGACTCCAGCCACTGGACTTGATGGCACCAAAAGGGCACTATGTGGTCTAGACTGGTAAACAATTAAATTTCTTTTTAAACAAACAAAAAAGGTGCAAGGAAACGGCCAATTCAATGTTGAGGAAAAGAGGATGTGCAGTGCCTACTGATGGTCTGTGCAGTCTTGTCTGCTGTGGTTGACCACAAAGACGGCATCACAGGCCTGCTTTTCATAAGCAAGAGGCGACTGCTGGGAGCTCGTTCGTTCCATCTTCAACCTTGATTTTTGAATGTGTAAATGAATAAAATGAAAAATACCTATTTAGTAAGTTTTTTTAAAGACAAACACATAGATAAGCAAGTAAAACACTTAAATATCGCCAGAGAAACCTAAGTAATATTACCCAACTGGTGTTGTGAAACAATTGGTCAAATACTTCAATTCACTGCTAATAATAACAATAACAATATTTAGTAATAAAGCTAGCTAATATCCTTGGTGGGGGAAATGGAATCAAATAGACTCCATGCCTGTTTTGTTTCCTTGTGGAAAATGTAAAGTTGTATACAAAATAGCTTTTTCCAGCAGAGAATAGCAAGGAGGAAGCAACATGCAAATTTTTCTTTCTAGATAATTTTACTTCCTTCTTTTTATTTCAGCAAGTATTTATAGCTGGAGTTGAAAGCTTGAGTTCTGAAACCATATTTCTACCCAAAGAAAGAAAACCTACACCCCAAGTTTATCTAATCCATCAGAAGTTGCTATCAATACCAGCTTTTGCTAGCTGAGCAACCTTGGGAGATTTTGCATAACCTCTTCTGCCTGCCTCTTTTGATTTCCCTGTAAGTAGAGGAAACTAAAGACTGGGCTGTGACAATTGAACAGGCCAGCCAGCAGAGTAAGTGCTCCTTGAATGTCCACTGCAAGTAGAGCACACCAGGAAGGTGAGGGCACACCAGGAAGGTGAGGCCTGTCTGAGGCTCAAGGGAAGAATCTCTGAGGAAATTGACTTCCAATCTGTGTGTAGATTTTAAGAAACATCCTATGTTAGGCGGGTGGTGATGGTGCATGCCTTTAATCCCATCACAGAGGGAGGCAGAGACAAGTGGATCTCTGTGAGTTTGAGGCCAGTTTGAGGTCTATAGAGTGAGTTTTAGAACAGCCAGAGTTATTATATAGAGAAACCCTGTCCCAATAAATAAATAAATAAATATCTGGTATTTGCTCCTTACAAGGAGCGTGTAACCAGACAGGCAGAAGCCTGGCTGGAAGGAGATTAGGAAAGTGAACATATTACCACACTCTGCCACACATGCACACTCTCATTCATTCTTATCTCTAGTAGTCAGCCTGTGTTCACTTTCCTAATTCCCTTCCATCCAGGCTTCTGCCTGTCTGATTACTTGCTCCTTACACTCCAGATCACATAACACACACACACACACACACACACACACACACACACACACACACACGGTGGGGGGGTGTGAAAAAATATTTACCGTGCATACTAAGCTAAAAAACAGAAGTAAAACTGAACACTGCTCAACTTCTGAAAACGTTATGAAATCCTAAAGTATATTTTCAATATTCATGTGTCTCTATCTACCTTACATATATAACAATGGAATGTAAAATCCATATACCCCATATGTGATTAACATTGAAATACAATTTGCTATATAAATATAATGCAAATGCACACATCAGACCTTGGGTTGGATTCCCAGCAGTCCCCTACTCAAGAAAAACAAACAGTAATGGTGGAGTTGAGCTACATTCAGTTTATCATTTTAAGGATTTTGATGTTCTAAGAAGAGTGGAAACAGCCATTTATGAAAAATAAAAATGACTTGGCCCAGCTTTATTGGATAGAATTTATTTCCACCCAGTTATATATTTCCATCCAGAATTGAAGTTCTGAACACACTTAAAACAGGCTGCCATCATTCCAGGCCACAACCAGTATTTTACCTTGAGGAAGACTGTCCAAAGGTCAGGAGGGAATTGTCTTAGGAGTTGTCACAATTTGGCGAGAGGATAAAGAACCCTGGAGAATTTGGAAGGCTATTGTTATTCCTCCCTTCCCCCACTAAAGAACTTTACCCACCTGAATGCCTGGAGCTGAGGAGACCCTTGGGGGTAGAGTAGGGGCTAGTTTATAATGTGACAGCATCTTGCTAGCCATCAACTGTTAAGAAATCGCTAGTAACTTACTAGGCTCCGGTCCCCTTCAGGCTACGATGCCTGAAGCTGGGAGAGTGCAGATCTGGAGGGGATCTCCAGCTGGATCTTACCCCAGGGCCGAATCCCGGGCCCTCCCACCCAGCCTGCTGGCTTTATTGCCTCAATTCTGAGTCATCTGCATACAAATAGTATTGATAAGGTGATGGGTGGTCCTTTGTCTTCCTCCTCCAGGGTCTAGGGAAGAGTAGCCATTTAAAATCAGGCTCGGAAAAACGAACGGAAGCCAGAGCTATCCGGGACAGAATAGGGTCTGCTCGAAAGCTTGAGAGTGACAGAAACCAAAGTGGAAGGAGACTGGAGAACTGGTGAGAGAGTCTTGAGAAAGACCAACTTTGAGGGAACTCCTGGGAGAGAACGAGAAACAAGCATCGCCTAGGATCTAGGGCAAGACAGGGCCCAGCAGTGCCAGTGACAGGGACTCCGGAGGGAGCTGCAGAAGTGCGGTCACCAGCTGCTGGGAAGGTCAAGAATCGGCCTTTGAAAGGACGCCAAGTAGTCAGTGGTGATTTACTGACAAATGTCTTCGGGTTTGATGCGATTGGAAGCCAAGTTAAAGTCAGAGGAGTGAGTGGGAGGAGAGGACGGGACACAGGCTGTGCAAACAGCGCTTTAAAAATGTGGCCTTGAAGACCAGGCAGTAGGACAGACCTGGAGGTGGAGCCAACAAAGTTACCTTTTTTTTTTTTTTTTTTTTTTTTTTTTTTGAAAGCAGTGAGAAATTAGGAGGGTGGGAGCTAACCTTAGGACTAGTGACAGAAATGCAGACTGCAGGGTTAGTCCACTCTGGGGAGATACCTTGAGGATGTAGAACACTCCCGGCGCGACTTGGCTGTTGGCCTGCCCCAGAAGGAGGTACGTGTTTGCCTTTGCACTCGGTGGAAAGGGGGACCCCGGGGTCGAGGGACTCAGGGAGTTGGGGGTCCTCGGGATGTTTACTCTAGAACCCGAGTGGGGCCAGTTTACTGTACTGGAGCTTAAAGGTGGGTCTGGTGTCCTGCAGGCGTGACTAGGCCTTTGAGTCGCTGGGTCTCTTATCCTCACTGGGGCAAACTGAAGGTTCTCCAGCCTGAGACAAGAATGGTACTGTTTCTTGGAGATGAAAGCCTGGTCACCAACTGAGGACTTTTCCCTTGCCCAATTAGATTATAGGGGCAGTTAAAATAACGACTGGCGGTGGTAATACTAAAGATTTGCAAAGCTGTATGAAATCAAACTTTTGTTTAAAAGATCCAAATGAGAACCTGGCGGTGTTGGCGCACAACTTTAATCCAAGAGTTTGGGAGACAGAGGCAGGCAAATCTCCTTGAGTTCGAGGCCAGCCTGAACTACTGAGTGAGTTCAAGAACAACCAGAGCTATGCAGAGAAAGCCTGTCTCTAAAAGCCTCCCATCCCCGCCCCCACAAAAAAAGAAATGGTCCAGAGGTTATCTTTTTCCTCTAAAAAGGTGTCTGCATAGCAAATATTAGAGACTTCCACCTTATCCTTAAATTTACTCCTTGCATTTCTTTCCATAGCCCTTAAGATATGTATTAGACTATTAATGTGGGGAAACATGATGCTTTAAGAGTTTTTAAGCTTGTGACTTCAGATTCACTGTGTTGAAATTCTTTCATTGATACTTGTGCCAAATTACAACATTCAGTGTCTGTGGGGCGGGGTGGTGGCACATCCATGCTTCCAGTGTATCCCCCTCAACTCCTGCCTAAGCAGGGTTTGTAGTCACTGGGAACCCACTTTGAAGGCTGGGTGTTACTGTGGCTCAAGCTTCATTTATGTCACAGATGTTAACCAAGTTAAATACACAGAGTGGTCTCTGTCAAGGCCCTGATACACACTGGAAACTACATTTTTACTAATTAGACCACAGGGCTGAGGCATATTAAGCAGGTGATGCCACCTGGCCTGGGAGGTGAGACTCAAGCCACCACGGTGGCTACCTGGCAAGGTTTCTTTGTTGCCACACCTACCACCTTTATATATTTGATGTGACACTAAAGCCATTTTAAAATATTGCTTCTCCCACCTCTTTGTATAGTGTAGATATTAGCTTACTTGCCCCAAATCTAAAGTCTGTGGTGAGTTCCCAGTCCAGAGTTCAGAATCCAGTGACCGTCCCTCCTCCAGAATCTATGAGTAGTAGCCAGTGGTTATTAGGTAGGCCCTGTAGGCCACTCTGGAGCTATAGTTGTTAAATTAGAAAATTTAACAATTGACAAAACATAAAGTCAAAACCTGAGAAATAATTATTTTCCTGTCTGTGCTTGCATTGCCTTAAACTTGGAAAAGTCAAAAATAATTAGGATAATCAGGATGCAGAGGCAGGCAGGTCTTTATGTTCAAGGCCAGCCTGATCTACATACTAACTGCCAGGCTACATAGTACAACCTTGTCTCCACAAAAGGTGGGGAGGGGGCTGGAGAGATGGCTTAGTCTTTAAGAGCACTGGCTGCACTTACAGAGGACCTTGGTTCAATTCCCTGCACCCACATGGCAGTTTACAACTGTCTATAACTCCAGTTCCAGGGGATCTGACACCTTCACGTCAATGCACATAAGATAAAGTTAAAAATTTTTAAAAATAGATAGATAGGTAGGTAGGTAGGTAGATTCCCCAAAAATGTCTTTAAAGAGAAAGGAGTTACTTAGAGTTCCAGTGTAATGTTCTAGTGGGCATTTAGTCAGATGCATGAAACTATTAAATTTGTTAAACATTTTTCCTGCTAGAGACCCAAGCAGCATCCTAATTGCCAGGTCTATCTTATGCTTTAAGACATCTCTGTCCCATCTCCAGAGCATCTGGCCTAGTTCATTGTCACTCTTCCAAAAACTAACCTAATTACTGCAAAACATTGATTAATGAAAAATAAATGCTCTGGGTTTGGTTGAATTTAGCTATAAAGACTCAGATTTATAATTCATGCCTTGTGAAGCTACTGAAAAATTAATTATCTCCAAACAGAAATACAAGCAAATTGCTTGAAAGTAGCTTGGTTTTTCATTTGTTTGTTTGTTTTAATAGTGGTAGCCATTAGTGCATATTTCTCCCACAACTTTAGAGGCCCAGATCTTGCAGGGAAACAGATTTGGGTAATCATGAAACTTTTTAAGAGTGGCATTGTAGGCCTTGTACCCCACTGCCTCCACCCTGACTCCTTAGACAGCCTTGGCTACTTCTGTACACATCCTTCAAGCTGGGTCATCCTCTTATCTGTCCTTGGCAGCCTTTTCTTATCTCTCCCTGGAGGGAAGAAAGCATCTCATTTAAAGTTTTCCTTTTGAGCAACCCCTGCATTGGCGCCATGTGCTGGGATTATAGGTGTTTACCACCACACCCCTGAGACTGCTCTTTTGTACCTAGTTTTGGAGCACAACAGCTGACCCACTGCGTTTCCTCCTAATTAAATGAGTTCAGAAAATAGATTCCGAAATGAATAAGAGAGTTTAGCAAATTGCTCTAACCTGGTTATAGTCAAATCCCTTTTTGTTTAGGCTTTTATAAATAAACAGCCTGAAACTGGACGTTACACTTTGGTAAATGTCTGATTCAGTTTTCTAACTTGTTCTCTGGGTGCACTAGAAGTGTCATTTAGGTTTTGTCATGTGTTGGGTGGTATCTCAGCACAGCCCATCCTTTCCCGTGGGAGACCTGGCAGAGGGTGTCTGACTTTGTCCATCTGGTTGTTATGTCCCCCACCCCCTTTCTTGTTTGGTTTCAGTTGCTTACTGGAATGTTCTTTCCCTCCCTTTCTCCTTGATGCTATCTGCACCTTCCCCTGAAGGACAATAGAGAATTCTTGCAGACAGTTTTGCTTGACTTGGGGGAGGGAGGACAGCATGTGGTCCAAGTTTCCTGGTTAAGAATACTGGGAACCACACCTAACCACAGAGAAGCCCCAGTCTGCAGCATTTTGTTTTACTGGGTTATGGTAATGCCTTGATTAATATTTGTGTCTCTCTCTTAATAAAATGCTGTACATTCATTCTCTCCACCCCTGCACCAAAGCACACAAAACCATTCACCCTGGGTAGCATAGTAGATAGTTGCCTATGAATAAAATGAGTAGATCTCAGCTCCATCATTCCTATGACCTTCTTTATAAAAGGAACAGGGAGATCTCTTCAGTAGGTCACCTTAAAGTGGTGTCCAAGAGTTGTTTTATAAACATCCAGCTTTATTGTTGTCTCCTTTGGTTTTTGTGGAACCCCAATGACGGAACAGTTTTCTTCCCCTTTGCAGATAGTTAATCTGGTTTCTGTACTTGCTCACTGAGAATCACCACCTCATACTAGTACTTAACAGCATGGCAGGTGTTCTAAGTGCTTTACATTTGGGCTGGAGGGTTGGCTCTTAACTCCACATTGGACTGCTCACAATTGCCCTGAGCTCCTGCAGCAGGGAATGTGACTCTCTACTGGCCCCTGTGAGTGCCTGCCCACATATGAGAATAAACAGAATATCTAATATCTCTACATTCAATCCCCACATCAAATTGACATGAGTACTGTCGTCCTGTTTCACAGAGAGGCTAAGTAACTTAGCTGCAGACAAAGAGCTGGCAAGCAGAGCCTGTATCCGGCCCCAGTATTGTAGATCCAAAGCAGTATTCTCTAGTACATTTTTCTTGTTTTTGTCCCAGGCAGGTATTGAACCCCTGACCCTCTTTTCCATCATGCTGTATGGTATTACCGGCGTGCACCACCACACCTGACTTATGACAGTTATCAGTGAGGCTCTCCCTTCCCCCTCCTTCTATATCTATCTTTCTATCTATCTATCTATCTATCTGTGATATTTTGAAACAGGGTCTTACTATGTAGACCAGACTGGCCTAGAATTTGTGGCAATTCTTCTGCCTCTGCCTCCCAAATTCTAGCATTATAGTACTACGCTACCAAGCCATGTTTAACTCACATTCTCTCTCCCCCACCCTTCCCCTGTCTTTTTGAGATGGCTTTAAACTCACTAAAACCATACATGACCCTGATCTTCCTACCTCTGCCTCCCATGTGCTGAGATTACAGTTTGTGCCACCACTCCCTGGTTTTGTGGGGATGGGAGTGCAACTCCTGTCTCTCTGTGTGCGCTTAGCTGAGCCACATCTCCAGCTTTGTGTGTTATGCTTTACTTAATGCGTTATTTTGTTGCACCACATTGGTGAGCTATTATTATTAACCCCCCCCTTTTTTCCCCCTTTTTGGTTTTGTTGAGATAGGGTCTCACTGTGTAGCCTTGGCTGGCCTCTTTAATTCATAGGCATCCACCTGCCTCTCCCCTAAGTGATGGATTAAAGGTATGCTGCCACTCCCTGTAAAATTTATATTCTGAGAGCAATAGTAAAAATGGGGGAAGATAGGTCAGTCTTTTTTAACTGTTCTGTGAAAACCCAATTCTCCCTATTTTCATAATTTGTGCTTGTGATCACTTAAAACCATGTGTAAAATCTTAACATTTTAATTTGTTAGCTGGGCCCATTCCTTTAATTCCAGCACTCTGGGAAGCAGAGGCAGAAAGATCTCTGAGTTCTTCAAGGCAGCTTGGCCTACATAATGAATTCTAGGACAGTCAGGGCTACATAGTGTGACCCCATTTTCCAAAAAAAAAAAAAGTTTCCACAATGTATGTTACATGCTTGTAGCACCAGTACTCAGGCTAAGATGGGATGATCCGGTGTTTTGAGGCCAGCATTGAATGATTTACCTGGTGGGGGTGTGAATGCCTTTAATCACAGCAGAGTTCCAGGACAGCCAGGGCTATGCAGAGAAAAGAAACCCTGTCTCAAAAAAAAAAAAAAAAAAAAAAAAAAAAAAAAAAAACCAAAAACTGATTTACAATTTAAAGCCACTTATCCATCCATGTTAACAGTGTATATTACCTTATAGCTCTTAAATCCGTGGTGGATTTCAAGGGCTTTCAGTTAACTAAAGTGGCTTCTCTTCCTTTGCCTGATTGGAGTTTGGTGGCAGTATTGAAATGTGAGACTAACTTTGTGTGTTTTGAGACAGAGTCCCACAACACAACCGTGGCTGACCTGGAACTCACTCTGTAGACCAGGCTTTAATTTAAGGTTTTGAAATGAGCTCAGTTTCTGTCCCCATTTCATCCAAAGTGTTTGGAAAGGCAAAGCCTTTTCTCTACTTCTTAGCTCATCCCCTGGGGGCATGCAAATTAACTAAGAGACAGCCCAGACAGGAGCATTGAAAAACAGTTTTGGTATTTACATGCAAAGAGAGGCCTGGAAGTACAGTGAAACAATGTAAGTCATTGGGAGTTTTCCGGTGCTTGTAGATGCAGAGGAGTGAGAGCTTTGCACCATTAAGGCCTCTCTCCCCAGAACCCTTTTTATTTCTTCTTCTTTTTTCTTTTTTCCTTTTTAACGTGTGTGGGTGGCATTTGTGGGTGGGGTATATGAACACACGTGTCCACAACCCCACTCAAGTGTGGAGACCCAGATCAGTGATGCGTGCCTTCCTCTTTTTTAAAGGCAACATGTAATGTTTGTCTTTCTGAATCTGAGGCATATCTTCCCTTCTTGTCATTCTCTACCCCTCCCACACACACTTATCTGTTTATTTGTTGAGGTAAGCTTTCCCTATGTAGCATTGGCTGTCTGGAACTCACTAGTCACAGCTAGCCTTTTGAACTCCCGGAGTTCTGTCTCTGCCTCCCAAATGCTGGGATTAAATGCAGCCATCGGCAGGCACAACTGCCCACCTTATTTTTTGAGAGACAGTTCTCTGACTAAACCTAAAGCTGTTTTGGCTAGGCTAGCTGCCGGTCAAGCCTCTGGGGTCTGCTTCTCTTTCTGGGGATTTTAAGCATAGGTCCTCTGTAAGTGCCTTGACCCACTCAACCATCTCCCCAGCCCGGTGGCTGGGTTTTTAACATATTAAAGATGGTTTGGGCATCAAGAAAAGGCAATTGTTGGAAGTAACAGGGAAGTACATGTACAGAGCAAACGTAAGATAAGGCCCAATCATTGATAGCAAATTTCAGGCCTAAACTTCAGCCAACTAAAGGAGAGTTTCTGCCCCTCCCCAGCCCTCAGGTCCAGCCTTCTGGAGCCGGCAGCAATGTGAATTTTTCGGGGCCTACACCCTCAGGCAGCAGCTCCCCAAACTGTTTCCCCTATCTTTCTTGGGCTTGCTGCCTAAGGGTGAGTCTCTCCCAGCTCTCTCTTCTCTGTTCTAGCAATCCCCAAACCCAGCTTGTGCAAAAGAGGGAGCTAAGAGGCACCACGCTGGGCATCATGGTTCGCCTGTTGGCCTCAGAAGTTCAGCAGCTTCTCCACAACAAGTATGTGGTCGTCCTTGGGGACTCTGTGCATAGGGCGGTGTACAAGGACCTGGTGCTGCTGCTGCAGAAGGATTGCCTGCTCACCCACAAGCAGCTCAGAACCAAGGGGGAGTTGACCTTTGAAAAAGACCAGCTGATGAAGGGAGGCGAGCTGGATACCCTTCACAACCGTACTGACTATCGCGAGGTGCGCGAGTTCTGCTCCGACCATCATCTGGTGCGCTTCTATTTCCTCACGCGCGTCTATTCGGAGTACATGGAGACAGTCCTAGAGGAGCTGCAGTCTGGCACGCATGCTCCAGATGTGATCATTATGAACTCTTGCCTCTGGGATGTCTCCAGGTATGGGCGGAATTCCTTGAGTAGCTACAGGCAGAACCTGGAGAACCTGTTTGGGCGCATGGACCAGGTACTGCCCAAGTCATGCCTGCTAGTGTGGAACACAGCCATGCCTTTGGGTGACAAGATCAAGGCAGCCTTCCTCCCGCAGAAGTGTAAGGGCCAGTACCGGATCTCTGTAGCCACCCTGAAAAAAAGAGTGAGCCAAGCCAACTTCTACAGCCATGCCGAAGCAACAAAGCGCTGCTTTGATGTGCTGGACTTAAATTTCCACTTCCGTCAAGCCAAGAAGCACCTGCAGGGAGATGGGGTGCACTGGAATGAGCATGCACACCGTAGACTCTCCTACCTGCTGCTGGCCCACATGGCCGATGCCTGGGGGGTGGAGTTGCCCCACCGAGACCCTCCGTGGGAGCCTGATCCTGTGACATGGGAAAGTCCAGGCCTGGTAGAGGAATGGCAGCCCCAGGCCAATAGAGGTCCTCAGGCCTTTCCTCAGTCTTCACCCATGCCTCTTCCTAGGCCACGCCCCCTATTCCCACCTCCTGGCTTGCCCTTAAGGCCCCCACCCCTACTAGCATGTCCCCTACCCCCGCCTCAGGCAATACCCCCATTGCCACTATATCCACAAGATACCTATTTTTCTTCAGACCATATTTTCCAGTCAGATGAATTCTATATTCATCCCGATGGCCCCCCACCTACCCACACAGGATATAACTTCGAGGGTGACTTTAGTTTTTATCCCCAGCAACCACCCGTTCACAACTTCCGCCCACCCTGTTACCAGCGCCATGCACCTGTAGTGCATAGGGGTTTCCCAAGGCATTTCACTCATGCCCCCTATACGCCCTGGAGAGAGAGGCCCAGGCGACCACAAAGACATGCCCCACCCTGCCTAGAGTCAAGGCCTCAATAGTCTTAAATCCCTTTACCTCTGGATAGGGCCATGTGATGTCGTTCATTGTCACTGTCCACACACACTGACCTTGCTAACTTAAGCCCAGCTAGTCCTGTCTTGAACTTTGTTGGCTGTTAGAAACAAAGAAGAGTAAACTGGCCCATTCCTGCTGCCTGAGGAGGTCTCTTCCCCTGAGTGACCAAGCAAGCCTTCTTACTACCTCCCCCTCGCTATTCTTGTTGCCTTTTTGTAAAAATAAAATTGAAATACAGAAATTGTTTCCAAAAGCGGTTCTGCCTGTTTTGTGTGTGCTTGTGTACTTGTGTTTGTGTGTGTCTAATGGCAGCCTCTCCTTGCAGGTACACCATTAGCGCTTCGAGATAAGACTGTATATACTAAATACTAAATAAGTGGTTTTGACAACAGCGTAGTAAACTATTCAAAACAGTTTAAAGGAATTCTGAGAGTTCCTGTGAATGGAACAGAGTTCTCACAAGGAAGTGGCAGAAATGGAACTTTTGGTGATCCAGTTTTCTCAAAGAACTGTTGAATTTTAGAACTAGAAAACTAAAAACATTAAGAGTTAACATTTGCAAACGAGAAAATGGAGTCCAAACAAATGGCTTCACTAGGTTTCCCTAGTCATCTTTGTTACTGTTTTACATTAATGTGAGGGGGCAGGGGAAGTGGCGTGGTCTCAGGGATCCCAGACCAGCCTCAACTATGAACATGACTTTGAATTTACCCTTCTGCCTCTGCTTCCTGAGTACTGGGATTAGAGATACACACTACTGTGACTAGTTTGTGGGGTACTGGGAATCAAACTCCATGGTATCTTGTGTACTAAGCAAGCACTCTACCAAATAATCTATGTCCTCAGCCTCCATTAACTCAGGACTGAGATTACAGCAGCTGTGTCATCCCCAGAAGGGAAGAGCAGAGGGGGGACACTAGAAGTCGTTTGGTGAACAAAAAGCCATGTAAGAGGCTTGCTTATGATTTGTCAGTCCCATGACTTGTCCTGGTTTGCGGATGTGAGGAACCTGGAGAAAGGTAAGCCACACTTGATGGCAGTGTAAGTTACCATTGTAGAATGAATAAACCTGCAAATTGGAAGGAACCACTCAGCCACAAACCCTTTTGGGGTTAACTCTGAGAAATAGCCACAGCCAGTATTCTGTAAGAGTGTTTTGTGAATCACTAAATGTATTTAAATGCTAGGCCCTTTCTCAGATAAAATACTCAACTAAGATGTGAGTCAAACCTTCCGAGTGGTGGGAATTTTGAAATGAGGGGTTGGACTGGTTTGTAGGTCCCTGGCCAAACCATTTCTAAAGGTGATAATGTTATTCTACAAGAGTGACATGAAATCACAAATCAAGACCAGATGGTTCCAGAAGAAATACACAGCACTAAGTCATTGCCCCCACCAAACAACATTCCTGGAGAAAGGGGCCTTTACTTCAGAGACCCCAGTGTCTAAGGTCCTGGGACTGAAGGCATTCCCTGTCCAGTGTTGAACTGTATAAAGGCTATACCCCATGTTTCAAAAGAGATCGTGTAAACTTACCTAGCACCTTTGTAGCTATCTGGTGGCATTTAGTTGAAGCAGCATGGTGCTAACCTTTGAAGACCCTAGAAAAGTGGTTTTAACAATTTGTCAACAAAATCAGGAGAAGGGGAATAACTGGCAGTTCCATGGTACCATCAATCCTCAACGTCCAGTTACCTTATTTCTGGGTTGATTTTCCAAACAGCATATCACTTCTGGGCTGTGTCATGTTGACTTTTTATTTTCAGGAGTAAACCAATGAATGGGTATTCTGTTATCTCTCCCTGCATAACTAACTAGATTGTTAAGCATTAGTCCTTGTTCGTCTATTCCATTGAACCTGATGAGCCAAGTTCTTAGATGTAGTACCCAGGGCCAGATGGTGAATTGGTGATGAATTCCCTGGGTTATGGATTAAACAGTGATAGCCATTCACTAATGGTTGTTTTGAGGGGGGTAGAGCAAAGGGATTTGTCAGGGCTAATGCTTTTATATGTAGATGTATTCTCTTACAGCTTGGAGAGTCACAAATCTGAAATCCATGTGTAATGGCTATTCTTAGATGTCAAGTTGACTGTCTAGAGTTTACTAAAACCCAGTCAACTGGGTAGATAGTCATTGTTGAACTAGCTGGATCACAGGCTGTAAGCCGTTCTAATAAAACCCCTTTTCTCATTGATAGATGGATGATTGATTGATTGGAAATATATACATGAAAATATGTAAACCCCCTTTTCACAGATAGATGATAAATAATAGAATTTTCCTGTGTGCGTGTGTGTGTGTGTCATTCTATCTGGTCTGTTCCTATAGAGAACACTAATACGGATTTGGGTACCAGAAGTGGTTCTAGAGGAACACAAACATAAGGACGAATATTTTAAATTCTGGCATGGGCTTTCCAATTTGCCAACACCTACAGTTACTAAAGCCTCTCCAGTTGCTGAAGCCTCTCCTAGAAGCTCAGAGAATGCTGGAAGCCATGGGGTGAACTGTTACAAGCTTAAGGAGACAAATGCTCTTGATGATCCTGATTCACCAATTGTGAGAGATGGTGGATCTGGTCACTCTATGTAAAAGTTTTGACAGTCTGTGGGGAAAATGAGGGGAATGATGATGTTCATTGGTTGCTTTTAGCACCTCTGGGTAGACAGACAAAGGAAAAGAAGGGGCTCTGTGATAAAAATTAACCAACTTCTATCATCTCCAAATAGGGTGAAGGACAATGAATTCGGTGATATAATTGTCTGACTTCAGATGAGCATAACCAGTCTAAGGTTTCTAAGTGTGTCCCAGAAGGGAATCTTCTCTGCAGCAGCCACAGGGCTCGAGTTGTAGAAAATCAAACCAAAGTCCTCACTATAAAGTTGGCTGAATTACAGCAAACATTCAGTCCCAGCCTCAGAGGATGTTGTCAGTTATGGTAAGGGCATTAATTAATAAAAAGTGGGATCCAGTAACTTGGGATGGAAATGTGTGGGAGGACCCTAGAACTTTGAATCCTCAGATTCTCAAGGACTCATCTCTCTACCCTCAGCCTATGTACTCCCACACCCTGAAATAATGCCTTTTCTGCCTGACTGAAGAAATTAATCCTACATTGTTTGCTAAACCAGCAGAGATTTTCTCTGAAGGGGATTCCAAGCAGGACAATACTGATGTCCCTCAGGGTCCTCCTATGGTTACCTCTAGACCTATAACAAGATTCAAGGCAAAGCAGCTCCTAAAGCAGAGGCAGAAAGTATAGTCCATGAAGAGGTGCACTACACTGCTAAAGAGCTTGATGAATTTGCTAATTCCTTCAAGCAGAAGTCTGGGGAGTATGTGTGGGAATGGACTTAAGGGTGTGGGATAATGGTGGAAGGAACATAAAACTGGATTGGGCTGAATTTGTTTACATGGGCCCACTATATGGAAGCTCACACTGTTTTTAAAGGTATCAAAAGTTTGATTGACTGAAGCATATGTCCAAAAGTGACATAATGAGAAGGAGTTGGAGATGCCTGATATCCCTTGGCTTAGTGTTGATGAAGGGGTTTTTAGGCTCAGGGAAATTACAAAGCTGGAGTGGGTGTGCTGCGTAAAACTTAATATTGTAAGATGCAAAATGGTGAGAGGGGCACCAGCACATTTGAAGAGCTTTGTTGTCACCCTTTCCCTTGGGCCAGAGATGGAGGGTTGGAGATGATGCTGCTGAGTTGGATGATTTAAGAGGGATCTACAGCCTTTTATAAAGGTATCTATACACTGGGGGAAAGGAAACAATCAGGTCTATTGGCTACTGGTTCTGAATTGATGCTGATTCCAGGAGACCCCAACAAACATTGTGACCCTACAGTTAAAGTAGGGACTTGGCAGTCAGGTGAATAATAGAATTTTGGCTGAAGAATGACTCATAGTAGATTCATGATGAGTTCAGTAGATCCTGAACTCATCCAAGGTTATTTCCCCAGTCCCAGAATATAATTGGGATAGGTATGCTTAAAGGTTGGAAGAATTCTCACATTGGTTCCATGACCTGTGGAGTGAGGGTTGCAAAGGCTAAAGGGATGCCTTTAGGGTTGCCTCTGCCAAGGAAAATAGTGAATCAAAACCAGTATCATATCCCTGGAGGAATTGCAGAAATCTGTGCCACCATCAAGGACTTGAAAGACAAAGGGTGGTGGTTCCCATCACATTTCTCTTTAACTCTCCTATCTAGCCAGTACAGAAAACAGGGTGGTTGTGAAGAATGACAGTTGGCCATCAAAAACTCAATCAAGTAGTGACTCTGATTGCAGCTGCTGTACCAGATGTGGTGTCCTTGAGCACATTTGGTACATGGTATGAAGCTATTGATCTAGCAAATGCCTTTTTCTTGATACCGGTCCACAAGAAGCAATTTGCTTTCAGTTGGCAAGGCCAGCGGTATACCTTTACGGTTTTGCCTCAGGGATAGTTAACTCTCCAGCCTGTGTCATAACTTAGTCCAAAGGGATCTCTATTGTCTGTCTCTTACATAAAATATGACATTGGTACACTGTATTGACAACATTATGCTGATTGGACCAAGTGAGCAGGAGGTAGCAACCACTATGGACCTGTTAGTAACACATATACACAACAGAGGATAGGAAATAGATCCAACCAAAATTCAAGGCCCTTCTACCTCAGTGAAATTCTTCAGAGGCCAGTGATGTGGGGCATGCAGAGATACTTCTAAGACAGAGGATAAATTATTGCACCTGGCCCCTCCCACCACAAAGAGAGAAGCACAATGTTTAGTGGACTATTTAGATTCTGGAGACAGCACATTTCTCACTTGAGGTACTCCCACCCATACTCCGAGTGACTCAGAAAGCTGCTAGCTTTGCATGGGACCCGGAACGAGACAATGGTCTTCAGCAGGTCCAGGCTGCTGTGCAGGCTGCTCTACCACTTGAACCACATGATCCAGCAAACCTGGTGGTACTTGAGATGTCAGTGGCTGATAGGGATGCTGCTTGTAGCCTTCGGCAGGCCCCTATAGGTGAATCTCAAAAAAGACCTTTGGGGTTTTGGAGCCAGGTTCTACCATCACCTGCTGACAACTATTCTCCCTTTGAGAGGAGAGACAGCTCTTGACCTGCTATTGGGCCTTAGTGGAAAGTGAACATTTGACAGTGGGGCACCATGCAACCTGAACTGCCCATCTTGAGCTGAGTGTTATGTAACCCGCCAAGTCATAAAGTAGGATGTGCACTGTACCACAAATAA